CATGAGAGAGGTAAGTAACAGGGACTGATGAAAAATAAAAACTAAATGTAATCACAAAACTAAAATGATGAAAAATTAATCATAACATATTGACATCTTATTTTATAAAAACTGTCCTTTGGGGTTTAGAAATACAAAGGCTAACTGTCCAAAAGGCAGGGAAAGAAAGAATAATAAAATATACATTTAGAAGAATGAAATTGCTTAATTACCAAACAGGCTTCACTTTTCAAAATGATGTCTAAAATGTATGCAATGGAAACACATTTTATATAAGACAACCTACACTACATCAAATTATTCTAATGTCTTTACACTAAGAACAAACAATTCCAAGTGTCTTTTTTAAGATACATTTCCACCTCCAGGGATCATTATCATTTTAACAAGAAAGAGTACAATTTAGTTTACTGTACTGAGCTACTTAAGATTTATTCTAATGCGGGACACACAGGTTAAATGTAGATAATCTGATCACACTCCCTGACATGTTTTAAAAGAAAATATTTATTTTCTGTTAAATAGCTAGTTAAGCTCCACAGAAACTAGTGAGCAGGGAGGGATCTAATGGCCTGCTTGCTATGACTGCAGAATGACTGATAGCTTTAAGCATTCACCCCAGCAGTTGAAATCAATTAATCATTCATTGCAACTGGAGCAGAATATAATTAATTATGTTAGCTTGACTGGTTCAAGTTTAATTCCACTAAAATCATTATAAAAATCATAATGAATATAGGCCATTATCATGAACTGTTGCTAAAATAAAAACAGTAATGAATTGAGCTTCTACATGAATTTAATTCACATTTTAAAAGACTTTTTATGGAAAAGGTTGAATATAAACACAAGTAGAGAAAATGGTATAATGAATCCCCAAGTACCCATCACCCAGCTTCAATGATTGTCAACTCACAGTCTTGTTTTCAACTATACTCACGCACTACACAACTGGAGCTCAAAATTATTTTTAAGCAAATCTGAACACTATCATTTTTCACTTTTAATTATTCAATTTGCATCTTTAAACGGGCTTCTATTTAAAAAGTAAACATGATACCATTATCACACCTATAAATAATTGCAAAAATCCTAAAAACCTTCCAATATCCAGTTAGTTTTCCTATTTCCCCAATGGTCTCATATTTCACTGTTTATTTACATCAGGATCATAATAAGTCCATCTCAAGTTTCTCTTAATCCATCTTTTTTTTTTTTCTTTTTTCCTTGCAATTTAGTTGAAGAAACAGGGTCATTTGTCCTGTAGTTTTCCAGCCTGCATTTTGCTGAATGAATCCCTTGTGGTATTGTTTGACGAGCTCTTTTGTTTCCTGTGTTTCTAGTAAAGAGGTGGTTTGATGCAGAGGCTTGATCAGGATCAGGTTCGACTTCTGGCAGGACTGCTCCGTAAGTGGTATGTCTGTTTCCATCAGGAGGCATCAAGTATTTGACCACTCTCTCCGCGAGGTTAGCAGTCACTGATGATCACTGTCTAGATCCATTAATCTTTATGGGGTAAAATGGTGATACTGTATCACTCCTCTTTAACATTATTAGCTGGAGTATTTCTTTAAGAGTATGGTCCAAAGGTGAATATGACTTTGTGAACTATCATTATTAACTCATAAAGTAAAACCACTTTGCCAGTGAAAACTTTAAGGTGACTCCAATCTTTTTTGGCAGACCTCTATAATCGCTTTTTTGCTTTCTGGTACAACCATGTTTTTTTAGGCTCTACTTACACATTTCTTTCTCTAGACCTGGAATTAGCCAGTTATTCAAGGAAGGGTGGTTTCTTTGAAGACAATGGTATTTAAAGACCACAAATAGGGCACTACTTTTGACTTGCATTTGAGTTATATCCAAAGCTAATAAATCAATTAAGCAGGACTGTCTTCTACCATTGTTTCTAATAAATTCACATGGCTGCATACATGTGAATCTTAAACCACAGGGCTCTCAGATTTTTTAAAAAAAACATATATAAATATGCTAAAGGTGGACATCTTCTTATATGTTAATTGTAGTATATAACTTGGTATATCTCTCTAGAAGACAGTATCATAATTTTTATCAATGACCTTTAAAAAACCTTTAACCCAATAATTCCACTTTTAGGAACTTCTTTTATTATGAGGCTTAGGGTTTTCCTTAAAGGATTGTTTAAAACAATGAACAACCTGAAAACCTAAATGTCCAAACAATAGGGAACTGGTTAATTTTTTAAATGTACAGTACATCCATAGAACAAAATATTTACATTCATTAAAATGACACAGATACAGTATCAATGTATTGTTAAAGTAAGAAAGGCGCATTACAAAAGTGTGCATATTATGTCTTTGGCCACATGCATAGAAAAAAGTCTTAAAGGCTATATCCCAAAATCTTAATGCAAACAGGGCTGTTCTAATGTCTTCTCTGCTGGTTTAGGATTTGGCTTTCCAGGGTCTGCCAGGTCAGATACTATTTCTCCCTCTGCGTTCCAGTGTCAAAAATGTTATCTTCTCTTCAATATTCCTTATCCTTATTGGATTCTGCTCTTTTCTTTCCCCAATCACTGTGATTTAGCAGAGATTTTAGGAAAGAGCAGAGGCTAATAAATTATTTTGCTCAACCTTCCGTCTTTTTACCTAACATCCTGTTGCTTTTCACAGGAGAGGACAGATACTCTGAAGACCTTATCAATTTAAATATATCTGAATTTCTACTGGGAATAATGTATACATGTATGTATCTAAGACACACAAACAATATAGCAATATAAAATGCAAGAGCTCACTTGTATCTTAATAATATAAAGCCAGGGATACAGAAACGACAGTGGAAAAACTAAACTGATAATAAATGGAAAAGGAGACTCAAGTGGAAGTTGTTTATAATCAAGAACATAAAACCAGAAATGCTGAAACTGAAGATGAGCTCTGGGGGGGTAGGCTGATTACACTTTAAGTTATTTAGAAATCAAAAGTGCTTTTCAGGAAATTACAATTTTTTTGCAACTTTAGTGACTTCTCTAAAGATGAACTGTCCTTGGCAGCTGCTTTAAAACTATATCCAACTTGCTCTCTAGCTTTGGGAGACCTTGACTCTTTAAATTTGGGTAAGAAACACCACGTCTTATATCCCTGAAGACGGGCTGTCCGGTTCTGTAATGGACTCACTATGCTGACCCTCTATAAACTTTCAATGAGAAATACCTAAGAAATTAAAAGCCTTCTCAAACACAAGCACCGACAAATGCACAGCTGCCAGGACATTCATCCCATCTTCAGAGAAATGAAAATCAAGAAATGAAAATCATTAAGACTTAAATGTACAGAGATAGAAGTAAGGACTTGAGAGCAGTTTGCACAGTTTGGAGAAATCTTCAGTTCTAACTAGTCTGTGAATATGACAAAAATGAAGTACCCAAAGCACAAGGTGCTGAAGACACCTCAGAGAACATGCCTGATGAGGTACAGTGATCTTTCCCTTAAAGAAACCCTTCCCAAAACTCTGTATTTCCTGACACTGTGGGGAACTAGTCCAGAAACGGCAAAACTTTATTCTATTGCTGATTCAATAGAAACAAAATTTAAGCATTCAGTTGTAAGTAAAATTAATACATTTGTAATCATCTAATATTTATGTTTTCATAAACAAACACAATTAAACATAATATACATTTTGATGTTTCTAAATTAAGGTAACTAAAAAGTATTATATATTTTTACTTATTTAACAAATACTACTTACTTAAGTTGGCCTCAGTTTAAAAACAAAAAAAGAATTTGGGGCAGATTATTCTGTGCAGGTCACCATTCTGGGCTTACAGTTCTTTTTCTAGATAAGACTGTAATGTCAAGTCTCTCCTTATTTGCTATAAATTTGACAAAGCAGGAAAATGTGACTCAAATTTTTAAAATATATGTATCATCAAACTAGACTTTTAAAATAAATGAGGTTCAATTCAGCATTCAAAACTTTGCAAAAAAAAATAAGGCCACAGTTTCCAAAATGACTCAGTTCTTCCACCAAGACACTTTTAAACACTTTGAAAATTGATTAGAATTAATGTAAAGCAGCTGAGATTAAGTGTTTTCCAAATGTTCAGTGTATGGATACAGAGATAGCTACTCAAATTTTTTTACATGAACTTCTAACCAGGAATAAAGATGTCTATACTCATGTGGACAGAGAGAATACCCTTTTTGCTTAACAATCTCTTTCATTTAGTCAGGAAAAGCTGCCTTGCGGGAAACTTCTTTTGATAGTTCTCAGAGTTCAAAGAGTATGAAACCTTCAAGTTGATTTCATCAAGTCTATTTATTAATGCATTTCAAGTTTCAAAAAACCTTACATCTTTGCACAATACTTTATTTTTTGCAACTTTTAGTAAAAATTTCCAAAGTGAACAAAAAGATACTGTATAAAACACAGTGGACATTAAACTGACAGTAGTATTAGATCTCATTTGTCTTGATCCTTTTGTTTTACCACATCTTGATTTGCAGTGGAAAGAGTTCAGTGCACTTATCTCTTTTCAGAAAACATTTAACTTAGACTCAAAATAAAATAGGGCAGTGTGTGCCTGCCAAAACCCTACCACAGGATAACATTACAAGCAAAAAATGTACATGTTCCAAAGTTTACCACACTCAAGAAGTTACTAAGAACTCTTGCAGAATAAAAGTCACCATTTTAGAAATGCAAACCCACTTCCAACCTTTGCACAGTCCAAAAACAAAGGCATTTAAATGATTTAAAAGCAATTACATACATATCTACCTACTTGTTTGTTTAGAATTATTTATAGTCTATCTGGGGTTTCATGTACAAAATTTGTCTCTAAATCATGTACAAAAAGCTGTATTTTGAAAAAAGTCACCACATACTGTACAAGTTTACAAGGAGGAGATCCCAATATTTTCTCTAGCATTTTTGGCCTTGCTGGCTTGCGTCACATTATGAGAATGATTGTGTAAACCTTATACTCTTAAGAAAAAAAGGAAAAAAAAAAAAAGCCAAACACAAATCTTTTCAACTTTCCCTAAATTTGCCTCCTATGTGAAGCCAGGAAAATCATAGCTGTTTACTTCTAACTTAGGTAATGTAGTTGGAAAACAGAAGCAATAAATATGTCACAAGCTTAAAATTTGTTTGTAATGCCCCCTTCCATTCCTGCATAGCAATACTAAGCCTGTTAATACATTAAATGCTGTTGCCTTCTTTCTTTAAAAAGCCAATTATTTACATCTATTTAAAAAATAAATTTGGAATGGGACATTGTGCTGTTTCACCTTCATTGTTAAAATATTTTAGGGAAAAAAAATGTTGGAAGGCCTATCTACAATTTTAACTACTAGTTGAGCAAATCACTCTTTAGTGGTTACCAATGATCAGTGATGATATGCTGAAAAAACTGTTCAAATATTTTCATAAAATAGAGACACAGCTTTTCTTTTCCATATCAGACAAAATCAAAACCATAATTAGCATACTTCAGATATATGGAAGACACAGAAAGAGCCTACAAATAAAAAGAATCATTTTGCTGACACAATTTCTACCAAACCATGAATAAAATTTCACCTAGCAATTCAAAATATGGAATTGAATTAGAAAGTTTAAAAAAAGTAAGCAGAAATCAGACGCTTACGTAAAGAACTAAGTCTGAAGTAGTAGTATGCTGCGTATGTCCAGTTTGCACAACATTTAACTGTGTTCTTCAGCGTAGTCACTCCTGTGCTCTTAGCAGCCATTGATAAAACAAAATGAATATCAAAACCAACTCCGTCATAAGGAAAAGGTAAACTGATTCTCGTTTCAAAACTGCCTGTGTAAAGCATGACAGAATCCTGGACCACTGAATACCACCATTCTCTGTTATCCTGAGTATGTCAATTAAACAGTAATTTTTCATTAAGAGCGGAAAAATTTTATAATACAAAGAAACATCCATATTGCAATTTCTGTTTACAATTGCACACATAAGTACAGTGTACGTAAGAAATACATGTCTGCACATAACAAGGTATGTACATTGGCAAGTGATGTCTCCAATGTTGAGGTGGTCGAGCCTCCCAGCCTTGATTGGCAGTTGAAAAAAATATATATATATTTCAATTTGTGATAAAAGTTTATCGAGAGCCAAGTTTGCCTGCAAGTGAAGAAAATGCAGCAACGAAGAACAGGGAACACGGGGCACATAATAATATTCTAAGACTTTGTGCCATTAGGTTAAAAATATCTGTCCATAAGAAAATTGGGTTCCTTTTTCACACCCCACCCCCAAATTGGAATTTTCAGGCTTTAAAATTTGAGTAATTCCACCTGATCTGAGGATATGATCTCTTGCCATTTTTTTCTTCGACTGCTATTTGCGAGGGTTTAGTTTGGGGATGATGATTTAATAGGTTTCTCTTTGGAGTGAAGTTTTCCCATTGTAGGCACTAGGAAGAACCAAGGCAAAAGCTGAGTTAACGTCTCATGTGTCCCATCTGATAACTCTCCCGGGGCCTCTGACGCTGGGGTTGCTGAATGGGCTGGGGAGGTCTCCTCCTCTTTAAAGTGCCTGGGAGTCATGAACAAAAACAAAACCCAGTTACCACGAGCTTTTTAATCTTTAAAAACAAAGCTGCCATTTCAATTTTTTTTTAAAAGGTTCCAGATCAGCACTATCCAAAAAAATACAGTATGAGCCCTATATTGTCATTTTCTATTTTCTGGTAGCCACAGTGGAAAAAGTGAAAGAAAAACAGGTAAAATGATGTTAATAATTTTTTATTTCATTTAACCCAATGTCAAAAATTAATCATTTCAAGATATAATCAATATAAAGAATTTTTAATGAAATATTCATTTTTTAATACTTAGTCTTTAGAGTCTGGTATGTATTTCATGTTTACAAAACTTCTCAATTGAGGCTAGCCACATTTCAGGTGCTTAACAGCTACAACTATTAGATTAATATGGATTGTGTAGACAGAATCCATGATGAAGAAATTGCTGAGTGTCTTTGAGCAAATGACTCAACCTCTCTGAAACTGAGATGACTAGCCTATAAACGAGGGATATAACTAACTCATATAGTGTGCTGTGAGGATTATATAATTCATGCAAAAGTGATCAACGCTTTTTGTGAAGGTTCAATAAACAACAGTTAATAGCTTTTTAATTTTAACAGCTAGAATTTACTTACAGTGAAATTAAAAGAACTGTTTCATTGAATGAGACCATGATATATATCTAAAAAGTGTCAAGTGGCCCCTGGAAATTCCTAAGAAACTGACATAAGTACCAGAGTGCCAGCGTAAATTTATGGAAAGCAGTAACATCAAAATCAAATTTCCTCTGATTCCCACCAAGGTGACTACTGAGCTCTCTTGCCTCAAGACAGGTAGATGCAAGGGAAGCGCTGAGGGAGAATGGAGAGAAGTATAAGGAACCCCTAGTTTTAAACTATTCTGTGTGGGGTGGTGGACTTAGCCTGAAGCAAGAGCCTTCGGTGAGCACTGCGTGTGTGCAAGAGGGAACTGCTGCTGTGTAGCTCAGGCTCTCCTCCGCCATGGCCTTGGGACAGTGTCTGCCCCACACCTACAGTGAACACGCCTACACACCCCCCGTCCAGGTGTCCCAAGGGCAGTGTGGAAGCCACACAGTGGGGAGGGGGAGGGAGAAATAGGTAGGGCCTAAATAATCCGGAGCAGTCACTTCCTTACCCTTCTGTAAATCCCCAGAGCTCAACTAAAGAGGGTCTCCTCCTAGCCCTGTCTCCTGACAGGTAAAGGGTGGAGACAAAACCTGAGGAGTGGTTTTCAGAGATGGAGAGTAACTACTGTTTGGTGACTGAAGCCTCTATCCTAAAATTTCCCCAAAAGCATCATCCCTAGGGAAAAGGAGCTTATGTGCCAGAAAATCTTTCAAGAGCATGAACATTAACAACAATAACAGAAGCGTAACTACTAGAACAGAAAGACCAATAATTTAAAAGTAGCCTATCATAATAAAAGCAAACAGGGAAGATTGTAGGATATTAAAAAATATATATGTATTAGCATTAAATTGGCAGCTTTTAGCTAGATGGGGTTGATTTTAAAAACACACTTAAAAATCAACCAAATAATTCATCCAGTAACCCCATTCTCAAAGAGAAAGTACTATAAATCAGTTAGTGAAGACTCATTTATAATTCAGCTCTACTTGCTGAATGGTCCTGAGATATAAAACCACGTACCTCGCTCAAGTGGTCTTACCTGGAAGAGGTTTAGGAGGAGGCAACTTTGGATTACTACTTGGAGTATGAACACTGCATATCTTAATAAAACCAGCCATTAACATGATCAGGGCGATTCCCATCAGTAATACTGCCCACCAATAAGCCTAGAAATAAACAGATTTTTCCACTGAAAAAACTATAAAATATTTTAAGATTTTTTATATTATATAAAATATACAATATAATATATTACATTTTAATTTTTAAAAAACATTTGTTAGTTGGGACTTGCACAGAGATAAAAGTACATATATACTAATTTCTTTAAGTATTAAAAAAAGAACAAAGGAGAAAACAAAAATTACCCATAATTTCACTTCCTAGAGGAAACCACTAAATCTTACTTTCATTTCAATCTCTTTTCTATATAACTATGTTTGTTATATATACAGATAAACACAAGTGCAAAACTATGGACATTCTGCACATAGTTTATATTGTATTTTCCCATGTTGTTACATATTTTTTGATTTAAATATTTCCTTCTTTTCTTTTGTCTGTTACTCTTACAGACTTTGTTTGCTTTTTATATCCTCCAGTGACTAAGAAGGTATATAACTTGCTTTACATTCTACTACTAGATAGATTTTTAAAATATTCTTTAAATTTATATTTTTTTCTAATTCTTAAAGTTGACATTGAATTCTATCTTTTTGAGGTCCCTTTTTCCCTGTTTTTCTATTTCATTTGGAATTTCAGACCCAGACTACTGTTATTAAATGATTTTTACATATCTTAGTTTTTATTATATTTATATATATAAAATATCTATTATATATTCACTTACTTAAAAGTTAACTGTCTTCTTTAATATGAAAACTGGAAGGATATACACATTCTAGAAGCAGGCAAAGTTTACCTCTAAGAAGGTACTAAAAATTTCACTTCCAACTTAAATCATATTAAATAAATCAATTAGCTAAACAAAAAACCTTCAAAAATTATTGTCATAATCTTATTTACAGAAAAATTACTGTTTTCATTCATAATAAATTATAAGCCTGTTTTATTATTCAAAATGTTCAAATTTTGTTTTAGGATAGCATGTACAACATCATACAAAACATTAACAAGTTGAAAACTATGAACCTTCATATTGGCCTACACAGACTGTTATAATACATACATAGTTATTGCTATTACTGGCAATTAAACTCCCATTTAAGATGTCCTATAATCTGAAGCTTTAAAACAAACAGCCTACTACTTCTATACTGTTTTTTTATAAAGCAGTAACAATGTAAAGAAATACAAGCTAAAATAAAAGTGAACACTGTGGCAAAATACCCCAAGCCACTTTTTCCATGTGTGCATAAAGCCTTTCCTATATATATACACACACACACACACACACACACACACACACACACACACACACACACACACATATATATATGTAATATACATATATTTCTTTCATTTGTTTAATTCTGAAAGAATCTCAAACTTATAAAAAAGTTCAAATATGGTACAAAGAAGTTTTTTAAAATCTGGAATCATCTTAGAATAAGTTACTAGCATGATGTCCTGTTTACACCCGAACATTTCAGGCATATAGTTCCTACAACGACGAGTGTTTTCCTAGATAATCACAGCACTATCATCAAAATCAGGAAATTAGCACTGATATACTACTATCATTTAATCACAGACCTCATTCAAGTTTTGCCATTTGTCCCAATACCACCCAATTCAGAATTGTGTGTTGCATTTAGCAGCCATGTTTCCTTAGTCTCCTGCAATCTGGAAATGTTGCACAGTGTTTCTTTAGCTTATAAAACCTTGACAGTTTTAAAGATTATAGGTTAGTTATTTTGCACTGGAATGTCCCATAATTTGGGTTTCTCAGATGTGTCTTTTTTATTACATTCAGGTCATACATCTTGGGTAAGAATATCTCAGAAGTGACGCTGTGTTCTTATTGCATCCTACCAGATGACACGTGACTTTGATCTCATTACTGATGATGTTAACTTGATCGCTTGATCAAGGTGTTATCTGTGAAACTTTACCAGAAAGATACTCTTCTCATTTGTAGTCAACGTGTATTCTATAGGAACATAATTAAAAACTATATAAATATCATATTCTTCCTCTAAATTTCAATTTATTCATTTATTTATTCCTTCATGGTTTCCGATGTTCCTCAGTGGGTTATAATCCATCACTGTCAGTACTGTGTCCTTGGGGCATGTCCCCACCATTCTTTGAGCACTTTCTTTCAGACACAAGAAGTTCCAGGTTCATCTTGTTCCATCCCTGCCCCAGCCTTAGATCAGCCATTTCTCAAAGGAGCCCTGGTTCCTTGTAGAACTGCCCCTCCTATGTAGACACACTCCTCACAATACTTGTATTCTGACATCCCAAGCTAGTCACCCCTCCACAGGGTACACAGGGCACCCTTCCCTGTGCCAGTACAGCTCCCCTTACTGGGCATGGGTGCCTTGCCTTGCCTGGCCTCACCTAATGCCTTTAGGAGTGAATTGTTCAAGAAAGGAGAAGATAAGGGGTAATGTGATTCATTTAGCCTTACGGCTGAAAGATTTGATCTTTTAAAAGGAGAAGCTACAAATCTGAATTTTTATGTGAAATCTGTTTTTAAATGCTAGCAACTCATTCAAAATTTCTAAAACCAATAGGCAGACCATACAAGACATGTTTGCAGAGCCAAATCTGGCTTGCATACCACAACTTTACAATCTACTTTTCAGAAGCCATTTCTTGTATCCTGCTGAGATTGCCAGATAGTTTTCTAAAATTTTCTTTTGGTTTCTGTAGAAAATAATATTCAGAGCACTGCTCCTCCCTGTGAGTTTTTAGAATAATATTCCCTTGTTATATAAATTTTCCATAAGCTCCTATTGTTTCCTCTGTTTTATTCATCCTCAAATATTGGCCCCACTATTCATCAAAAGGCAGGGTGTATAAGTCCTGCCCTCAGTCTGTCAACTAGAGCGTCAGTTGATTTCTCCTTTCATTTCTGCCTACCGTCGCATGCAGAACTATATGCACAGCTTTGGTCCTAGTCTAAGCATCCAGAGGCCTTTTAAATGTGACATTTAATGAAGTCTGGCCTTCCTCTACCTTTCCTGTCTGGATCTCTAACACTCTGACCTAGTAAAATACATTAAGGACCAACATCACCAGCTTGCACTGCTACAAGCACTCTTCCTGCCCTATACCAGCGGTTCTCAACCTTGGCTGCACATTAGAATCACCTGGGAAGCTTTTACAGCTCAGTTACCTGGACTAAATCCCAGACCCCAACAGGGCAGAAGTGAGATCCTGACATCCACAACTTGGTTCAAGCTACCCAGATGATTCCATTATGCATCCAAGACTAAGAGCTACTGGTCTCCACCGAAGATCAGCAAACTTCTTCTATGAAGGACCAAAACAGTAAATACTTTAGGCTTTGTGGGCCATACGGTCCCTGTCATAACTACTCATTCCTGCCACTGTAGTACAAAAGCAGTCAAAGATAAGACACAATGAAGTGTGGCTGTGTTCCAGTAAATGTAACTTACAAAAACAGGGAGCAGAACGGATTTGAGCCATAAGCCATAGTCTGTCAACCCCCATTTTATACCCACATACAGCATATCAGTTTGGGAAACTGTACCTAAATGGATACCACTCAACACTAGCTCTTTAGTTCTACCTCTTTATCCTACTGAGAGTTTAGGGAGAAGCTGTAAACATCTGACTGATTGTAGAGAGATTCCTGTGACTAGGAAGAGCTGCTCAAATAATCAGCATTCACATGGCAAAGGAATGGTTCCCGTCTCTGAGTACATCTAAGAATGATCTGGTATGCTTATTAAAACAGACATTCTCAGGCCCAATCCCAGAAATTCCAATTCAGTTGTTCTGGTGGAGGGCCCAGGCAACTGCATTTTAAACAAGCGTGCCTGTGACTAGGGTGCAGATGAGGACTTCTTACTCAGTGAGGACATGCTGGCACTGTGGCACAGGACCATGTGAGCAATGCAGGAAGTTTGGCATACACAGCCTGCATCCATCAAATGCCAGCAGAGCCCCTCAGTTACTCTGACAGCTACTGTATATTTCCAAATACCCTCTGGAGAGGCGGTGTCACTTCTAAGGTGATCCGATCCATCAGCACAAAGGGAGAAGGGTCCTCCTATTAACCTTCAGGCGGATGGGCTAGTTCAGTTACAGGAGATGCACTTCTGTCCCTGATGTTCATTGTATTCTGACACCCCTCCTTTCAGTCTTTCCTGCTCAAAATCATCCACACAGCCATCAGTGTAACAGCTACTTAAAATATGAAACTATGTCACTCTTCTACGTATAACCCTTCTTCAAAAGCTTCCCACCAAAGATCTCCAAGATAAATCATTAAGTGGGAGGAAAAAAACAAAACTTGAGCACACAATGGACTGCAGCACAGTGTATAATTGATTCCACTACTTTTTGAAAAAATTTTTATTTTTTTATAAAAATACAGTTTCTAAAGGATTTTCAAGAAACTCATCTTGAGAAGACTGGGCTCCAGGGTAAAAAGGTTTACTCTGTCAATTAGAAAAAAAGATAATCACCCTTTCAAAAGGGAAAAAGAACAAAAATTTTTATTTAAAATAATTCATACTTCAGTGATTTTTTTCAGGTGCTCCCTCTTTATAAAACACCGACCTGTACTCTCTACTTCTATTAGTCCTTAAGAACTGACTTTGGCATCGCCTCCTTAACGAGGCCTTCCCCAAACAGGTCCACCTATTTTCTGTGAAATTACCATGCAGAACTGAAAATAGGTTTCTGTGCACTTCTCCACTCCATCCCAAACTGGATGCAAGCTTTTTGAAGTTATATTCTACAAACTCAGTACCTACCCTACAGAAAAGAACCTGTTGGGCTAGTTATTACTTGTGAGTTGTTACTCCAAATACTGACTTTTCGAAACACTTCTACCAGTTTATTTATTATGTCTAGACTGCCCGCACATACAAATAGCGCAAAAAGGCTCTTACAACAGAGAACATAAAACACAATAGTTCTGAAACCTCTTCTAATACTGGTTCTTCAGTACCTATCCAGTCTTAAATAGAGATGCAACTAGTCTAGCGTAGAAGACACAGACTGGAGAGAGGAAGCCTGGATTTAATAATGGTTATAAACTTGTAGAAAACAAAGGTCAGAAGGACCAAGTCCCAGTTTAGATCAACAGACATCTACCAAAATGTGGCACCCAGCACCTTGAGAATTTCCAGTCCCTTCTAACAGAGTTCTTGGCTTTCCTCCAGAATTTTCCAGGTAACTACATATCTTGAAAGCCCAAAGTTTGAGATATTTTAATGACAATGATAGTAGTTTTTCAGAAGAATATCACAGCAGACCGAGGACAGCAAGAAAAAACTAAACAAAACAATAGTACATTTGAGAGTGTACCACCTTTGGTACAAAGGATTTTTCTAATGCTCCCTTTAAAAGAGAATTATCAGAGAGTGGTTAATGCTAAATCGCATGTTTTCTCTTTCACACATACTATAAAATCCAGGAAAAGATTACCAACCAGGCTAATAAATAAAAATATGTGTTTCATCTCAAAAGATCACAATTTGTCCATTGGTTAGACTCTAAAGAAAGAGAGAGCTGTCATTCATTCAACAAACATTTAATGAGTGTAAATTATGCACCAAGCTCTTGTCTTTCATAGGTACAAGGGTGTTAAGTGAAACTTAAGAAACAAAGAGAAGACATCCAAAAGTTCAAGAAAAAGCCTAGAAGCTAACAAGCACTGCATCAAGTCTGAGGAAATAATTCTACATAAAGAACAGACAGATGATGTTCAATATATCCATTTATAAGGCCAAAAGAACATAAAGGAGAAAAAAGGAGCAAAAATAACAAACCAAAAGGTCAAAATCTACCAGTCTAATTTAGTATGTACTATTATAATAGTTTTCTTTTTAATTTAATAATCTAAATAAACAAAAAGGATCTACTGGATAATGAAACAATAAACCAGGTACCAACCAAAACACTGTTGGGGGAAGGCGCAAGAAATTCACTCAAGTCTCTTCAGACGTAAGGTAATCTTTACTGTTTTTAAGATCTCCAGAATAAAGTCAACCATATAATCCTTTCAGTGAATGTTCCAGTATCAGCAACTCTCATTCTGAGCAAACACACTCTAGGCTTCTTATGGGTCACAAGACCACGTGAGGCCCACAGTTCCTTGTCATGATACTGATTATGCCATCCCGCAAGGGCAGAAAGCCTCCTCCTATCCTTCAGAAGATACCACTGTCCGGACTTTGACTAAATGTTCTGTCCTTCAGCACCCCACATGCCACCCCTCATACCAATCTGCCAAGCAGAAAGCAACTGGCTACTAATCTTGTTCCTTCAAACTCAGCCTGGGCAAACAGAATAAAACACCACTGAGAGAAACTTGAAAACATTACAACTTCAAAGTTCGGGTAACATGTATGACTTTTATAAATTATGACATGTAAGAAATCTGCTTCCATCCATCTAGCAAATGCTCACTGACTCCTTACCATATGCCAAGCCCTGTGACAATACTGCATCCTTGTTAAAGGCTCATTAGTGATAGCTACGTGGCCTCTTCTATGAGGCAACAGAGGACCCTAGAGATCCACAACCACCTTCCGTTTTCAACATAGCAGGATGACAAAGTAGAAAATTTCTGTTACAAGTCTTTTGAGAAGGAGCCAGGACATTGCAGAGACTGCAAAAACGGTTCCCAAACTTTAACATGCACTGTCACCTACTGACTCAGTGGGTCTAGATGGGGTCTGATAATTTGCATTTTTATCAAGTTCCCAGGTGATGCTGATGCTGCTGGTCAGGGAACCACACTCTGGGGTACACTGCTCTGGATTAGGGGCTGATAAATATTTCAGGCTTTGTGGGGCCATACAGTCTCTGTTGCACCTGCTCAAAGGGTAAAAGCAGACACAGACAATATGTAACTGAATGGGTGTGGTTCTGTTTGATAAATCATTATGGGTAACAGAATTTGAATTTCATATAAACTCCTGCTAAATCTGAACAAAAAAGAAAAAAAGCAATAAACAGGCGATTATTTTAAAGTGTGGGGGAAATACAATGATAAATTTGAAAAAAATCAAGGTCAAAGACAGTTTTCTATGTCAAACCTAAATAAAAGATGCAGAAAATGTGAACACATCAATAACTATGAAAAACGAAAAAGAATTACTAATGTCCTGACACTCATTTAAAGAAAAGGTGACAGAAAATGAAAGTCTAAACAGATTTACTGGTGAACGCTTTCAAACTTTTCAAGAACTAGGTGACTCCTTGATAAATGCAAAGGAAGTCTATCATTATCTCCTGGCCAGACACAAAGGAGGCACTCAGCCTACATCAAACATTATTGTCAAAAACAACTTTTCCCCAGAAAAAAAAAAAGGAAAAATCTTTTTATCATGTCACTTCCACAGTATCAGAAGCAGTCAGTAACTTAGGCCCTGAAGTATTAAACTGTCGAGGTTTCCCCCACTCTAAGCTCCACGAGGAAAAAAGATACCATAGTGCACTACTGAAAGGAGACAAAAAAGCTACCGGGTACCACTGGAAAGGGAAGTCAGTGAAACTAACCTCTTGTCCCTTTCAGAGCTTCCCACATCAGAGCATATTAATAACCTACATTACTAACTAGGACAAACGTAACATAACAAATTTAATGTAACAAATACAATGTAACAAAATTAACTCTGCTATGCAAGCAAACCTTGCAAGTAACACAAATGAGACAAATGATTTATAAGGAAATAGATGCTGGTTATCTTACTCTTTGACCTGGTTAATACCCACAAATGCAGCCGCAGACTAGCGGTAGTGTTCAGGCATTACAGACCATGCTATTAGGAAGAACGGCACATGAATGTCAACACTGATAAAAAGTAACAGCATTCTACACCATTCTACACTCACTTAAGACAAACTTGCACAAACCTAAACGTTTCAGAGCATACAGAAAGACTTCATATTGCTCAAATTCACTGTTAAGAAGCATTTCATTAAATCCTCAAATCTAAAATATAAAAAAAGTTAAAAATACTTTAAAAAAGATCATTTCTATTAAATATTTTGAAGATGGGAATAAATAAGCTTTTGAAACTCTAAATAAAATGAGTCAAAATTAGAGATAAAGAAGAAAAGTGAAAAAATATAATTTTTAGATGGTACGATTTACTAGATAGAAAACTTAAGCTATCTGGCACAACATACATTCAGCAGAACATAAGTCTGAGATCCCCACTATCAGATTTTTTTCTTTGAACACACTGTCTTTCATACTAGATAAGTATACCAGTTTTCAACTTTTTCTTATTAGAGATAACCAGAAAAAAGAAAATAAGAACTGGATCTGAGCTGAAATCAGGGAAGTAAAAGGACCAAAAAACATAAGCTACTTGAAGTCAGAGAACTGTCAATGTCAGAAGGATGATCTGAATCCTTATGTGATTCCAAGCCTGTATTCCTTCTACTTTACCATAGTGCCAGAGGCACCTTTAGCTTAACAGGTATTTTTTTTATAATACATCATACAACAAGCATAGGAGTATAAAAATGAGTAATGTACCACATTTTTAGGAGACCTAATCAATTGTCCAATTATTTGGTTTAAAACTTAGGTCTCCTAAATCCAACTTCAATAATTCTCCCACTACACAGTCATTACATATCTAAAAATCACATTTTAACATACAAAGTATTATTCTTCTTTATATGTAATAAACACCGTTTTAATGCTAGAGATAATTCCAAAAGTTTTACTGTAAATTTTTACTACAATAGTACCAAAAAGGGCTGCCAACCCACACAGATGACTATTTTTGTGTGTGCTTTAAAGGTATCCTCAGTCCTAAACACATACAAAATATGTGAAAAATAATTTAGGAGCAGTGGAGGAGGAGGAGCTGAGTTCTAAGCCAATTTCCAAAGCAAACTTACTCAGTTCACATATAGCACCTTCTCAAACACATCACTTGCACATTTCCTACTGATATTTTTCATGTAAATACTTATAAATATTTAAATGACTTAAGACAATTAACTCTCACCAATCTTTTTCAAAAATTTCAGGTAATTCAACATCTGTACAACTGGGGAAAATGTGGGCTGAAAAGTTACATAGTTCAATAGATTTATGTTCGATGAACATCCATAATCATTAATAAATCTGCAAAAGACTCTGTATCTGATCTTACCCTGTTCAACATTTCCTATCACGGACAAGATGAAGACCCAGAAATTATACTGAAACATCAAAAAAAACCTTCAGAAAATCATCCATTTCTCTTTTACCTCTTCTGTTCGGCAAAGTAGAACCCACAGCAGGGTATCTGTCATACTGAGACAAGGGGGAAGCATAAAAAGCAAGCAGGGCTTTCCAAAACAACCTCAGGAAAAAGTCTCCTGGCAATGCTCTAATCATATGGACCAAAGGAGGAAGTAACCCATCCAGGACATTACCAGGGAGCAGAGTGAAACGGAATGACTTCCATCACCTACCAACCAAATCTATGAATGACACACATGTGGAGATCCTGATCACTTCAGAAGAAAACAATACCCAGGGATATTTGACTTTAAAAATCATTCTTCAGATAAAACACACTTTACCCTTGAACAACGTGGGGGGCAGTTAATCCACATATAACTCATAGTTGGCCCTCGATATCCACAGTTCCTCCGCATCTGCAGATTTGAACAACCAGAGACTGTGTACTACTGTAGAATTTACTGTTGAAAAATATCTGTGTATCAGTGGACCCATGCAGTTCAAACTCACATTGTTCAAGGGTTGACTACTTTCAGTATAAACAGGAAAGAAGTGACTTCCTCACAACACTGGTGACCTCTGACCAAGTAGAATGATGATCAAATCATTTTAAGATCAAGTTTCTTTATAAATAAAAATTACACTTACCACAATCCATTCAGCAATGTTTTCATAGAGCTCTGGACTGAAAATTGCTTTTTTAAGCCTAGCTAGAGGACCATCGGCATCTACTAATCTGCACCGCATGAAAACATCACAGTAGCCTCTAAAATCGTTGCATGGGGATCCAGGTTGCAGGGTGATGGTTCGACCAAGGAAGTACATGTTCCACTGCACAGACCCTGTACTGGCACAAGTTGATGGCTCCACTGGAAAAGAAGTGCCAAACATAAGCTGAAGACCAGATTTCTTATCGGGGTAGTTGGGAAGAGAAGGTGGTGGGGGGTGATGCCTAAAATCGTCACCGTGACGTTTATATAGACTTCGATTAGTTAGGCTGGTGAATACCACTGGTAATTCACCTTAAACATTACAATATAAACAAACAACAGCAACTCCTGATGTAGTGCCTACAATGGCTTTAACACCTTTTAACAGGGTTTATATTAATTATTGCCACAACACTGGCAGGTTTTGTCTAGTTTATCATTTTAAAAACACTGTAGGCACCATAATACTAGAAACACAATACAATGCTACATTTAAAAATTTCTCAAGAGGAACAGTTTTGCTGGAAATTATCTGTCCCAACTGTTTACCAAAGATTAACACTTAAATTTTAAGAGAAAATACGGTTTTTGAAACAGATTTTATACTCTTGTGTTTTAAAAGTCTTACTCTTCTTCATGCAGCAGACATGGCATAGCTCCTTATCATCTTTGCCATCAGAACTGGCACAGGTGCACTCCTCCAAGCCGTATTTCTCACAGATAGAACCTGCACATTGCTGGGAGAAAAACAAAGGACCAATTACTTAATCCTTATACATCCCACCTCTTGTTCACAGTAATAGACAGATATAAGCCTCCAATGCTAAAATAATTAAGTAAAAGCACATGTAGGGGCAAAAAAAGCATAGATTAGTATCAGAAATGGACCATATAAATACACCTGAAAAAGCAAGCGCAAATAAGATAGTAAGTCTTCAAAGAAATGGTAACTTAAAAATCTAAACAAAACAAAAATGGAGGAAGAGATTAGATGAGCATCAACTTTATGCTGGTTATTATGGCTTCTTTCTAAGAAGCGAAAAACGAAATTTTCCTCATGTAGAAGAAAGTGATTATTTAGCCAAGAAAGTCTTAAAGACTTCACATTCAGAGGGAATGTTCTTCTATTTAGGCTGTTAAATATTAACTTATAAAACTTAAAAGCAGTACGAAGTCACATGCCTAGTTATAGAACTGTATTTCTCCAGAGAACACCAAACGCAAGTGGTAGAAAGATGAAAGACAAAGTCAACAACTAACGGAATGCCACCAGGCACTTCAGCCATGCAGTGCATTCATGGCTTTGTGAGGAAACAGACAGGGATATCATTGAAACAGGAACCAAGATTAATTACTTTTACCATGTAGTTTTAAGTGTCAACAATTATGATTCTGAAAAAGCAGGTTTCATAAAACTAATTTCAAAACATATGAAATTAAATGCTTACCCCATTAATGCACACTTGTGTATGTCTATTACAGTCCGTAAAGTTTGGTTTAGGATCAGACGCTGGGCAGAGAGCTGTATTGCCATTACACATTCCTTCTTTTGCGCAGTCTGAATCATCCCGACACTTCTCAGTTTTTGACTTGAATGCACACTGTGCTGTACAACAGGGACCTTGACTTGGACTAGAAAAACATTTAGGTGATTAAGGAAAACTGCTGGGATATTTCCTATATATATAGATACGGTCCTAATTTTTATATCATAGATCTCATCTTTTAAATGGTAAGTATGCTACTATTATACAACTTCAAATATTGGAATAAGAAGCTACTAAATTTCAACGTCCTAGTAAGTGCAGAAAGTGATTAAGTATCTTGTTTTAATAATAAAGGCATACTATACTTAGTATTCTTATTCTATTTGCCTTTAGTAAAAGGCTATAATGGAAAATGGATTAAATATGAGGCAAGTTATCACTGTTTTTCATAGATACACCATACATTGGTCAATTTATCAATTTCTCATATTTATATGCTAAAATCAAACTCGGATACACAGAACAAGTATTTTAAAAGTACTGGACAAACAATATTCTAGTGCTTTTATCTATCACTACCAAAATAATTTGACAAGTGAAATAATTATATGACACTAAGTTACAAGAGTGTATAGAATCCACCTTACCTAAATATTTAACATTAAGGTTCTAAAAATATGAACTAAAGTCACATTTTTTAAGTTAGGAATTAAATAACATGTATTTTATTCAGTGTCCTTTGCATGTCCTTTTTTAACACCCAATACACAATTACAAGTACTTCAATCTGCCAGTATCAGTGCACTAAATCATGCTCCTCCAGAAAAATAAAACAACAACAAACAAAAACAAAGTTCCAAAACCATATGCATCTCTTAATCTCAGTTTTAAGTTTGTCATAACTGCCTTCAGATGGAAAGAACAGTAACATTGCTGGGATTAGCAAGGTACCTGCACTGCTTTCCAGGTCTCAGCTTGCATTTCTTCCCCTCAGGTTGGTTTGCATCATAGCAGCACTCATCTTTACACTGGTCACTGTAGCCACAATCACATTCTTCACCTTGCTCTACCATTCCATTTCCACAAATAGGTTGGCCAGATTCTGAAGAAAATAAACAAGACAAAGTAAGCACTGTATGCAACATTAATTTTATTTAAAATTCACAAACTCTTTAGTGCTTCAAACAAAAGGAGAAAGAAAAACTTTGAAGAATCTAAGAAAAGCAGAACAAACCTGGAATCTGGAAACTGGAGATCTAACAGTGGCTCGGTCACTAACAAACAATGTGGCCTTAGGAAAGTCACTTTCCTTTCTGGGGGGGCCTCAGTTTTTTAATCTGTACAGTGAGGAAATTTGACCTCATGGTCCTTGCTAAGATCCCTTCTAGACGTGGTAGCATTTTATTTAGGCCATGCCACACTGAGCTTTATTGAACAATGACTGCACTATTTATAGTACATAAATACAAAGTAAGTTAGTGCTTCAGCAGGCAGAAAAAAATTAAACCTCTTATGTTAGAAAATTCCAAATATATAAAGAAGTAATAAAAGAGTAAGTACAGTGAGCTCCCAAGTACCAATCACTTAGCTTTAACAATTACCAACAATGTGCTGTAAACAACTTCATCTACTATATTCATGTGTTCTTACAAATATTTCAGGATGAATCTAAGAGATAAGGAGTTCTTTTTAAATATAACCATAATACGATTACTACATTAAAAAAATTAATAATATGCAAAGTAGTATCTAATAGCCAATCCATTTTCAATTTTCCTCATTGCTTTCCTTACAATTGATTTATTTGAACCAAGTTCCGCACAAGCTTCCCCCAACCTCTCTTCCCATGGTTGCTTTTTGCTGACATGTATCTTAAACTCTTTTAATATATAACAGATTCCCTCCTCTCTTTTAATTTTTACACTACTTATCTGCTAAAGAAATTGGGTCATTTTGTCCTACGGAATTTCCCACATTCTATTTGGCTGACTGAATCCCAGTCAATAAGTATTTTTTTTAATATATTTTAGTTTTGCTCCTCAGCTAGACCAAGCTCCTTAAGGGAAGAACCATGTATTATTTATACGTTTTGTGTTTCTGCAGTCTAACAATATCAGGTCAAATCTTAGCTCATTAAGGTTAGACTGTCTGGACTAATAAGCATAGTGAATAATTTCAGAAAGGCTCTTTTTTTTTTGAGTTCTTTGATTTTGTCAGTGAAGTTTAAAATTGGAACAGGAATGGTGCTCTTAGTAAGAACATAAAATCACAAACGCTAGCATCTGCAGGGCAATGATAAGAATCAGATGTCTTCATTTTATAGAAAAGAAAACTAACTTTCAGAGATTTTGCGACTTGCTGGAAACCATATGCCTTACCTAGTATGAGCAAAACACAAACCCAGGCCCCCTAGATCTAAAATCTGGTGTATCTTTTCTTTCTGCTACACCAAATCAATGTGGAAAACAGCTGTAGCACAGGCTTCAAACTGAGAACTGAGTAAGCAGAAGAGAATCTATCTCAAAGCAGGAACCCAAAACCAGGCACACCTGAATGAAAAATATTCTAGAACAGCTAGCTTTATATTAATAAAGTTCAATCTTATCAAATATTAAAGCAGATTTTAGTGGTAACTGAAGCTTCATCCCTCTTTTGTTCCAAACCATCTCCTTTGTTCTCTAAAACTAGAAACATGCACGTGCACATAGACACTAAGTAAATAATGATGGGCTTTCTAAAGTCTAGTAATAATCATTTTATAATTCATGTGACATGTAATTTAGGAGAAAAGGAAAAATGATAAAAGTCAGAAAATCTTTCATGCAATATTTACTACATGTTCATTTTCATCTCATATAGAAATATTACTTGGAATCAGCTATTTGCTAACAATTTAAACACAGAGAAAAGGTGCTGTCTAAATGCAAAACTTATAACAGGTACATACTTCATTATAATTTAAGAAACAAATTTCTTTCCCATAATACCTACAAAGCAATATGCTCATTTTAAAAGTCATTTTCAGAAAGTTTATTGTAAAAACCCAGTTTACAAGTGAAAAAATCTATGTAACGCTTCTACATTAAGAAGATTTAGAAAAACTACCACTGATAAAAACAGTAAAAATGGTAACATCAATGTAATTTAATCTGCCCCTTTAAAAGAAAAAGAAGGCTTTAAAAGAAAAAGTCAATCAATAAAAGTAAAAACTGATCATATGAACCTCATCAAAATTTAACTTTTGCTCTGTGAAGAGATTGAAAAGATAAGCTACAGACAGAAAGAGAATATATGCAGTCCAGTATCTGACAAATAACTAGCATCTAGACTATAAAGAACTTTCAAAACCCAACAGAAAAAAAAAAAAAAACCCAAAACCTCAATGGCCAAGAAACATGGATGTCTCACCAAAAAAGATAAACAAATGGCAAATAAGCACATGAAAAGATAGTCAACATTATTAGTCATCAGAAAATACAAATTAAAACTATAATGATACCCTATCACAATGGATAAAATAAAAATAATTAAAAAACCAAAAGCTAACAAGGAGACAGAAATTAGATCACTCACACACTGCTGGTAGGAATGTAAAACAGTACAGCCAGTCTGTACAACAGGTCAGCAGTCTCATATAAATAAAAACAATTACCAAATGATGGGCTGGCCTGTTGGATTTGGGGGAATTTACCCCAGAAAAATGAAAACTTATATTCCCATGAAAACCCTGTCTATAGCTGCTTTATTCCTAACAACCAAAAATTGAAAATTGCCCAGATATCCTTTAATAAATGAATGGTTAAACAAACTGTGGTACATACATAACACCTGCAATAAACAGGAACAAACTAGTGACACAGGCAACAATTTGGATTAATTTTCAAGGAATCATGCTGAGTGAAAAAAGCCACTCCCAAAGGTTACAGCTTGTACGATTCCATATATATATATAACATTTTTGAAGTGACAACATTTTAGAAACGGAGAACAATTTAGTTGGGCAGGTGACGGAACAGCAGGAAGGAAGTGGATGTGATTATAAAAAGGCAACATGGAGAGTTTCTTGTGGTGATGGAATTGTTCTTTATCATGACTGTAGTTATTGGTATATAAACCTACACGTGATAAAACTGCAAAGAACTAAACACGCACAGAAAAGTGAAATGTGAATAAGATCTGTGGATTGTATCAATGTCAATATTCTCCTTGTAATATCGTACTATACAATTTTGCAAGGTGTTACCATTGGGGGGAACTGGGTGAAGGGTACATGCAATCTCTATCATTTCTTATAACTTATGTGAATCTAAATTCTCTCTATATAAACTTCAATTAAAAACAAAAGGCCATAGTATTGTCAATTATACCTCAAAAAAATGCAGCTAAAAAAATCAAAAAGCCATGCTTATCTGGAAATCTTCCTCAATTCTTTCTCCTTTGCTATCGTTATGTTTAACTCATCTTTTAGAGTGTTGTTTATGTGCAAGGTGAGCAGGCCTGGGTGTTTGCCCTCAAGTAATTTATAATCTTGTGAAACAGGATAAGGATCCCCCTAAAAATAATATAATATGAAATAGAATATTCAGAACATATTAAATGCCGCAAGAGAGGCAAAACAGATGAACAGATCAACAAAATGTGGTATATCCATATACTGGAATATTATTTCAAAAGAATGGCATTTGGATACATGCTACTACATGTATGAATCTTAAAAATATTATGCTAAGTGAAATGAACCAGAAACAAAGGGACAAATATTGTATTATCCCATTTATATGAGGTATCTAGAAAAGCCAAATTCACAGAGACACAAAACAGATTAGAGGTTACTAGGGGCTGGGGAGAAAGGGGAATAGGAGTTACTGCTTAATGGTTACGGAATTTCTTTTTGGAGTGATTTAAAAAGTCTGAAAATGGAAAGCAGTGATAGTTGCACACATTGTGAATGTACTTAATACCACTGAATTGTACACTTCAAATTAGTTTAAATATAAATTTTATGTTATATATATTTTGCCACCAATAAAAAGTTCATAGCAACTTTGTTCATATTGGCCCAAACCTGAAAAGCCCGGGTGTTTACCAATGGGAGAGTGGATGAGCAAACTATGACGTATTCATGATAATGTACTTCGACTCAGCAGTAAAATGGTACAAATACTAATAATGAATCTCAAAATATTATGCGGAGTGAAAGCAGCCTTTCAAAGAAGGGTACAAACTGAATGATTCCATTTACATGAAATAAAACAAGCAAAATTTATCTATGGTTTAATAGAATAGTGGTTGCCTGGGGTGGGGGTGGGATGGGGGCAGAGATTGAGGGGGAAGGGAAATCAAAGAACCTTCTGGGATGATAGAACTGTTATGTATCTTGATATGTGCTTGGGTTACAAAAGTAAATGCATTTGTCAAAGCTCATCAAATGGTGAACTTAAGACTTGTACATTTCACTTATGAAAAAATTTTTAAAAAGAACAATAAATAATCTTGAACTCTACTTATGTAGCGTAAAGTGTTTAGGAGTATACTGATATCCACAATCCACTTTAAATTGCAACCCCCACCTCAAAAAAAAAATGGACCAAAGGATGGACAGACTGATTCATATGTGATAAAGCAAATGCATTAAGGTATTAACAACTGTAAAATATAGGTGGCAGGTACAAAGGTATTTACTATACAACTCAAGTTTTCTGAATGTTTAAAAATATTCATAATAAATGTAGAGAAAATATACATACCAACAAAACAGTTGTTTCTCTTCTTCTCAAGAACCTGGCTTATATTTCTAATACTACAGAGTGAGAATTTATTGTTGTTAAGTTTGTCCCCGGATGTCGCTCTTGCATACATGATGTAATTGCCATTTTCTTTTTGTCCTAAATTCTTAGATTCTCCTGGAGTGCACTCTGTTCCAGAATCATGCTGTCAAACAGAATACAGAGTTACATAAACAGGAAGTAAAAAAAGGTTTTTAGGTCATCTGATTAAATGTAATTTTCTCATCAGAAGAACAATGAAGGTCCTACTTTAGAACAGATTTTACAATTGTTTTAGACTGTCAGGCGGAAGATAACTTACTCTTTTAGGGACCACAGTCTTAGAAGGGAAGGAAAAATCAGTGATTTTGATTTTTTTTAATTTACTCCAATTATTTCTTTTAGTTGGATTCCCAGAGGTAGAGTACACTGAGTTAAAAAGTCAAACATTTAAAGGTCTCGATATAAATTGCCAAACTGTCTGACAAAAGGACCATATTAATTTATGTTATGTAACAACGTGGATTAAGATTTCAATAGGCAGGTATGGGAAGGAATTGGCTTCCCAACAGGAGTAAAGTTTTAAAGGACTATAAATTATTTAATTTGACAGGGAAGGGGAGATAACACTGGAAATACACTTAAACTCAAATTATGGAAAACCCTAAATGCTAGGATAAGGAAACTGTATCAGCAATACCAGCAGATTTGGAAGTAAGGCTGCAGAAACATGTGACATAAACAGAATGATTAGAACTCTATCTAAACAAAGATTAATCTGGTAAGAGTAAACAAATATTAAAACCTTCATACTGAGAGGGAGGAACTTGTCTCATTTATTACAACTTCCCAGAAAAAGCTTATAAAGTAGTTAACAGAAGTCTGCAATAAACATTTGGGATAGGATAAATAAACATAAGGGATAAAGACAGATTTTAGTAAACATGTCAAAGGAGACAGGCTCAGGAGTTCATGGTCTGGCTGATCTCACTATTATATTACTTAATAAATATTTACTAAGCACCTACTGTCTTTATGTACAGTAGCATGAACAACATACACAAAAGAATGGGGAGTAAGCGAGCATGGGAGAATCATTAAAAGTAGTATGATAGGAAAAGATAGCAAGGTAGGCAAAAAATGTGAACCAATTTATCCATTAAACAATAAGCAAAAAGTAATATAACTTTAATGTATTAAAATCACCTCTCTGGCAACCAGGTAGAGGATAGATTAGATGGGAGGTGAAAAAAGAATAGACTAGATATTCTACTCCAAGTGTGGTCCACAGACCAGCAGCTCCAGTATCACCTGAGAGTCTCAGAAATGCAGAATCTTGGACCCTAGACTAAGGGCCACCAAAATGGAATCTGTATTTTGAGATCCTCAGGAATTTGTATGCACATTAAAATTTGAGAGGCCCTAGACTAAAGGAAAGAAGAGTAGTTAGAAGGGTCCTAAATTTCCCCTGGTAAGGATTGGATCAGGGGGACAGGGAGAGTAGAGGGGACATTTAACTGCCCTTGAAAATGCAAATTAACCATGAACAACAGTTCTCCAAAAATTCCATCTCAAAATTTCAATTACTCTTTTAAGAACAGATCACAAAAGCAGCCAAAAGGTAGGGAGATTAAGCACATTTTAAATACTTTATCCAAGAGTACTGATAATAATCTATCAATTTTTGACTGGGGCTTAGGAAAAAGACTTCCAACTTAGAGAGTACCTTACTTACATTTTACAAAGTGGGGGGAAATTAGGTAAGCGCGTTTTAGAATTTTAAGCTATAAGTATACAATTTTTTCGAAAGTCATAAAAATTTCCATTTTTACATGATGTGATAAGGTACAAGTAAAATAAATTTATATACAGTTTTGAAATACAAATTTCCCAAACTTATTTTAATGAGCCCTACCAAAATCATAAAGACAGAATATCTTTCAGTATTTTGTACTTCTCTGTGTATTAACTTTAGGTCCCTTGAAAATCAATACAATGGACTGGGTATTAAATGATACCAAACAGGGCATACAGGGCATAGTGGGTCTAGGTCAGTGGTAGAGTACACGCTTAGCATGCACGAGGTCCTGGGTTCAATCCATTATAAATAAATAAATAAATACATACATACATACATACACACACACACACACATACATGCATAAATAAATAATAGGATTAAAAAATAAAATAAATGATATCAAACAATTGCTAATTTTGTTAGGTATCATAACCATGTGGTGGTTATGGAAGCAATGTCTAATTTTTTAAGAGATGCATTCTGAAATATGTAAGGATGAACACATTTGTTTCTAATACCTTACAAAGAATAAGAAAGAAAAGCAGAAAGGGGACGTAACAAAATCTTGGTGATCGCTGACTTTGAATCAGAGGTTAGCAAATTGTAGCCTACACCTTATTTTTACATGGCCTAAGCTAAGAATGGTTTTTCTAAGTTTAAAAGATTGTAAAACAAACAAAGAAAAATACACAACAGGGACCAATTGTTATCCCCTACAAAACCTAGAATGTTTACTAGTAGGCTCTTTACACGAAAAGTTTCCTGATTCCAGTCCAGGATGATGAGCATGAGAGTTTGCTGTACTATTTTTCTCTGCTTCTGTGTATGTAATAAATTTTTCATACTGAAAGTTTTTTTTTATATAAAGGACAAAAGA